TGAACCATAAAAATAGAATTCACATATTAATCCCTAGAAAGAGGGAAAAAAATGGCTTCACAATCATAAATCTAAAAAAAAAAGAGAATCCCAAAATATTCCCAAGCCCTCAACTCAGCACACTTGTTCAACATCAGAATATTATTGTTAGCATTTTCTTCCCTAGCTGCCTAATATAACACTGTTTGCCCCTCTGGATGTCCAAACCCCCAAAACTTTAACCTTAGACTTTCTACTATTGACCTCACCCCTTTCCTAAGAGGTCTGTAGGGGGCGTGCATAAGCACACTAACGTGCCTACCATCCCTGTCCTATTGTTTCTTTTATTTTTCTTATATGTATCCATTTCATGTATTCATAACTATGTTTATCCTTGTACCTATTATCTTGTAAGTGATTGACAAAACAAATACATTAAATTAAATAAGTTGGTTCCCAGTTGATCTAAAAGGTCCCAGTGTATTAGAGGAAAATGTGAGGCAGGATTTTTGGCTCATACCTTTAAGGCCTATCTTCAACCAGAAAACAAATGGGTTTTAAAGTCCCTTTTGCATACATTTTAACCTACTTCTGAAGCACACACTGAATTAGACTTTATTTTCACTTAACTTGTCAAAACAAGTAAAACCACAAAGTAGAGCTGAAGCGATCGCTCGGAGCTGTCTGTAGAGCAATCGTGAGTGCTCAAGGTGTTGGGAGCTGATCTCAAAACCACAAAGGTTACCGCAGAAACAGGTGTTGAAAAATAAGGCAGCATAAATGAAAAACAAAATCACCCCACAGTAAATCTCTTATACTGTAATTTTCTCAATTATATACCTTCTGAAGTTGTTGGAATAGCACCATTATATTCCAGAATTCCTAGCTAGTAAGATCTTTGGGCATCTTTGCTAGGAATTCTGGGTGTTATTCCATCCTAATATATCTGGTGGAACATAAACCATGTCATCTTGCATTAACCAAAGTGTATGCAATGTTTTTTTGCAACAGAATGCACCTTTTTCCATTTTGTTTGTGAGCCAAATGATGTAGGTTTAAAAAGTGTTTCTTCCCTTTTGCTTGTATCACTTAGCTCAGTTAAGGTTTAAAATGGACCTTTGGGGATTGTTTTTAAAGCACATGCAATTGTGATGCCCTACTGTACACTATCAGTGAATTCTTGTGACTCATACCAAAAATGAGTTTAGTAGCCTTCAGAAATAAAAATCCCCAAATCATTTTACGGGTATACTTGTATTAGGAAACCTCACAGATTACAAAGTAGTACATAGTGTTTGAAGAGAGTCAGAATCCTTTGTTTGGAAATAAAGCAAGCGTTGGGGAGAAGGAAAGAAGCTGCTGGAGTTAAAATCATGATGTTAACATTTAAGCTGGGCAAAAAAGCTGGGTTTCCATAGGCCCACAGCAGCAACAGAAATCAGTAAGAGCTGGGCAGAGCCCAGCCCTTGCTGGATTCATTGCAGAAGCGTCACCTCTCAGCCATTTAGCGAGGCTTATGCTAGAAGAAGATAGAGAACGTTACTTCTACGTGAGATCAGAAAATAAAGAAAGACGTTTCTGCAATGGGTCGGGCTAAAAGAAGGGTTGTGCCATGCAGACATGTCCTTCCAAGAATTTACAAGGCATCGCTGAGCCAAAATGAAGGAGCTGTGCAGATGTCCCCCTTGATGATCGTCTGAAGGTAAAGGTGGAGTTAGGCTTTAATAAATGCTTCAATGTTTCGTGGTTCACCGATGACTGCTCTTAAAACCGCTTGGATGAACAAATAAAGAATAATTGATCTGCTTCTTTCTGAAAATATAAAGTGGGAATGTTATCCAGACTGATCTCCATCGTATGTCAAGTAGACAGGTGTAGAGCACAGCCAGGCCAGAACAACTGAGCTCATTCCCTGTTAACCCCACTTGATAGAGTGGTAGCAATCTGTGGAATGAAGGCTGCAGTATATAACAATGGCCAAAACATAGCAGCAGTGGCCCAGTTAGAACATCTTCACCTGTGAGCTTTATGGTTTTATGTGTGCACATGCAGATCCACAGCGTGTTCTGCCAACAGATGCCCTTCATATAGCTTGAACTTCCATGTCGTATCTGTACCTAATATAGGCTTAGGTCACACTGTCGGTAGAATATGGGGGTTGAAATCCAAGACATCAGGCTAGAGAAAGCTAATGCATGTAGTAATGTGTATAATGTGCTTTACTTCAACATGTGGTAAGCTCGGCCTGCTGCAATCAGGAATTCAGCCAAAGCTGAAGAGCAGCAGTTGCAAGGCTGAGCCGGAAACTGTCTAGATAAGAGATAGGTAATGGGTCTTCTCTGCTGTCACTGCTGCCAAGGTCTATTATGAGTGATGATATTGACAGTTCAGGATACTAAGGGAGAGGTAAAGGGCTGGTATACCCAAGGAGCTCCTACAGGAAAATCTTTTTCAGTGGCTCTTAGCATGGTGGGTTGTTGTTTTTTTCACATCAAGAATAAACAACCTGATACTTGTACACATTACTGTCGTCCAAGGGCGTAGCAGTTTCCTTGTTCACCTTGCTTTAAAAAAATGCATTCAATTAAATTAAATAATAGTTAAAATTGCAAAATGGTGGAAAGCTGAAGCGTGTATAAGTGTGTAAAATCGCCAGAAACAAAGACCAAAGTCTCCTGGGCATGACTTGGAGAAAATTCCTAGGGGACAGATGAATGAACACACTTGCCAGCTGGGCCTTTTGAAAGTGAGTGTCTTGTGATCAGCAATCTCTCCACAAATACCACTTTGTTTATAAGTAGACCTTCAAATGTGCTGTCCTGCACTAAATATTTGCTTATCAATGTTTGCTTACACACTTGCTTAACCATTTGTGCAGAAGCCTCAAGGCCAGGAAGACCCCCAAATTCCACACAGGTTCTCTCTGGGGTGGTACAATCTTATCCAGAAAAAGAGATTAAAACTCCCCAGTCCCCCCATCCCACCCCAAATCATTTGATCTTCCCCACCTAGACACCCAGACCTTCCAGGCAGCAAAACAGGACCTTCATGACATTACACAGTACAGCTTTTGACATTATTCAGGTGGCCTGGGGTGGAAATGTAAAGCTGGATATCATAATAATTCACACCATCGGATGACCTCACACAGTGGTTTTTTCTACTGGGCGCCACACAATACGGCTTCTGACTGGCTGAATCATCTTTTTCTTTTGTGAAAAACAGTTGCAAAATAGGAATGATGAAGTTGAAACTTTTTGTTGTGCGTTATCATCTTGCCATCTTTTCCAATCAGCAAACCGATTGTTTCCTTGACTTTCCTTGTTCCACATATACCCCCGAAATGCTTTATTGTGGTTGTTGCAATATTTCTTATTTTGGGAATGTATTGCAAGCCTCACTTCATTCTTAGGAGTGCTTAATCTTGCTTATTTTTCCTTCAGGGTTTCCATCAATGGTATCTTTCCTATTTTTCCCCTGAGCTTATTGAGGTCTGCTCTCTGGAAATTTAGTAGACTACGAAACTGCTTGCCTTCAGTTCTCCCTGCCTGCAATATGGTGAATTTTAGAACCACATGGTCAGCCTCTACCAAGGCTCCTACAACTTCCATTTCTTCAACTATTTCTTCCCTCTTAGCAAGTCTTGAGTCCAATGTAGCTGATGCTCTAATTCCCTCAAGTACACTTTGGACAACAATATGGTCCGTAAGACACATCAAAAACCTGTTGGCTTCCTTACTTGGCTGCATCAAAGGGTTTGCTTTCGAGGTGATGCTGGGATACTTGAACTCTCTCACTATGCTAGCAATGATTTCTGGATCCCTTGCCCATCTGACTGGGAAATATTTCATTTCCTCTCTTTGGCTTGATATATGGCCTGTATGTCAAGTGCCAGGAAAATCAGGACATTCATGCAGTTCAAATGGGCATAAACATTTTTTGTAAGCTTAAGCTCTCTACAAGAATCTGAACCATTAGGGCCCAAGAGAAATTAGCAGGAGATAAGAGTAAAAGGAATTCAAGGTGAGCTGGACTGGGATCTCTTGTGGGTACAAAGGGACTCAAGACTGATGATACATTTATTCCCTCCCCCCCCCCAACACTCAGGTTCACCCTGGTCAACTCCTACACTCTAGTATCCTCTCACAAAAGTGTCATTTATACGTAGGTTCTTTCCCTCTTTGTTTCCACCCAGGTCCCTTCAGCAGAATTTTGATGACATGAATTTTCACACAGGTATAGTCATTCTTTACATATAATGCAAACCCTATAGTTGGGGCTGTTTCTTTTGAATAAATTATATCCTGATGAATACTATTCAGGTGAAAAGTCTGGAATTAACTTGGTAATATATCTCATCTTTCCCTTTAATTTCTTTAAAGGGTGTTGACAGCCTCAGGCCACCATATAAACCACATGACTGAATAAGAATTTGCTCTCGTGCTTCTAAATTTAATTTCTCTACTCTTCCACCTTAGCTGGAACAGTAGCTATGTACAAAGAATGTACAGTTCTTCTACCAAATTGTAAATCAAGAAATCAATCACATTTCTTTGTGCTGTTGTTAGCCCTGAAGAGAGCAAATATTAGTGTTATGTAGAACACCAGAACCATGGTTTATACATTTTTATAATCTTCTAAACTCTCATCTATTTGTAATCCTTTTTTTTTTTTTGCAAGCTTAAGGACTAGAAACATTGCTAGTGAAAAAATAGACAAATTGAATTTTCCAGCCTGAACAAATGCTTCTCCATTGCTAAGCTATTAATGCAACAGAAACTATTTATAGCCAAACCAGCAGGTGTAGCAAACCAGCCACCTTTCTTTTTCTAAGCGGCAGAACACCTCACTCCCACAAGAAGGCAAACGCTACACACACACACATACACACACACACGCATATCTGCCCACACTCTACTTGTTTTTGCCTTTCTGAGCTCAGGAGCAAAGGCCTGAAGGGGGTCTGGGCATCTGGTTCCCAACCCCAGACAGTTCTTGCAGCCACATTGCCAGCACGTGACAGGAAACCCAGCAGCTTTTGATCTCTTCCCAGCTGCTGCAGTTGCATCCCAGGCTGAGATGGCTGTAGCACCAACCCACTCCTGCTCTGGGCTCCCTGGACTCTGCTTCTCCCGTGTCCTCCTTGCCTTCTGGTGCAGTAAGTGCCCAGAAAGGGACCTGTACTTCTTTCCTTCATCAAAATCCCATTTTCCTCCAGATTTCACTATCTTCCCTTGACCCAATTCCTCCATAATTTCCTGATTTTGCCTTTTTCTTTCTCCTTCTTCAGCCTTTGTGGGCAGCGGCTCTGCCGTGACAGTGACCCAAACTCCAAGCTTTGTCAGTGACTCGACAGGGAAAAATATTTCCTTCAGGTGCTCTGTGGATGATACAAGCTACAGGATTTTTTTGTATCGCCAATTGCCTGGGAAAACAGAACTGAAAGTCCTTGCATACCTCTCCACTGCTAGTTCAGAACTTGAAGATATTCCATCTGAACTGAAGGATCGGCTGAAAGGAAAGGGTTCGAAGTCTGACAACTTGCGGAAAATGAGTTTGGATTTGTTTAAACTTCAGGCGAATGACACAGGCTTGTATCTGTGTGCTGCGGTGTACACAGTGAAAGAGAAAGGAACAGTGGCAGGTGCAAAACTGAGTATCAGGAACAAATCTGCCCTCTACTCTTTTCTACTCATATCCATCTTTTACTGACATCCATGGGTAACCCTGTTCTACATCCTAGGGGGGTCTCATATTTCAAACAGCCTTTGGCCAATTTATGCCTTTTAGATACCCAGAAGTGCCCATTTATATATGGTCTGTGGGGTGGGACTTTGGATCTAATAAATTGCAGGACCACAAGGGCAGTCCCACATGATAAGGGTCAGGCTGTGGTAGGCCAGCATCTCGCATCTCACAGTGGCCAGCCAGATCTCTCCAGGCTGCTGTCAAGGAGAAGATGGATACTGTTAAGTTTGGGAAAAGAGAGGCTGAACCAGAGCATGAGTGCAACAAATACTTTATTATAACAATAAAGGGCTGACCGTGCTTGCCACGCCTGGAAACTGGCTCGCAGCAATCAGCAACTGGTTGGACCCCGCAGCCTGCTTTTATAGCTGGCTGCTGGGGAGAACCAACCAATGAGTGAAGGGAAGAACGTCCACGCAAAGTGAATGGAGCTGAGTGAGAACTCCTAGAGTTCTCATGACATAACACCCCTTCCCCCCAGATGCGAACACGCATAGTCTTTGAGGTAGGTAGGAGGTTTATGTTGGCGCCCGGAACGGCGCAACTCTGGAACGTTGTCTGTCCGTTCGGGGTCTTTCTGGGAAGGCAGAGCCGGCAAAGTGTCACCAATGTGCCCCTCGGTTCGGGCATGCCCGGGACTCGTAGGGTTGGTCACTGGGGACGTGTTCCCGTAGACTGGATCGGGCTGGTCAACCGTCTGGGCGCCGCTGTCCGTGTTCGGGCTTTCGGGAACGGCTGTTGGTGTGAACTGGTCGCCGGGCACGATGTGGATGTGGGGCTGATGATGAGGCCTCCCCTCGTCTTGTGACTCTGGATCCCTGCTGGCGAGGGTGCTGAGGCGCCTACGCAGTTGGTCTATGTGCCTTCTCCAGACACGGCCATCCTCCAGTCTGACCCGATACGACCGCGGCCCGGTGATGGCTACGATCTCGCCCGGGATCCACAGGGGGTCTCCAGCGAAGTTCCTCACGAATACTGGCTCCTGTAAGATAAAATGTCTAACCCCCGATGTGGAAGTGAGGGGAGAGTCAGGGCAGTATTGTGGGTGAAGTCTGTCCAATACAGTCCTCAGACGCCTGCCCATCAGGAGCTCAGCTGGGGACTTATTGGTGACCGGACAAGGAGTTGAGTGCTGGCTCATCAGGAACCGCGAGAGCTTGTGGTGCCAGTCATCCTTGCCGAACCTAGCCAGGGCTTCTTTAGTGGTCCTGACGGCCCTTTCAGCCAATCCGTTACTGGCAGGATGAAATGGGGCTGTGAAAATGTGGCGGATACCCAGGTTGGCAGCGAAACGGCAGAACTCGGTCGATGCGAACTGTGGGCCATTGTCGGAGACAATGGAGTCGGGTAGCCCGTGCGTTATGAACAGGCGTGTTAACACGTTGGTGATTGCTAGTGTGGTGGTCGTGGATAGCTGTGCTACGTCAATCCATTTAGAATAGGCGTCCACGACCACTAGGAACATCTTCCCATGCAAGGGGCCGGCCAGGTCGATGTGAATTCTGGACCAAGGAGCGCTGGCGCTTTCCCATCTAGTAGGGGTGGCAATGGGGGGAGCAGGACGGGATTCCTGGCAAATGCTGCAGGAACTTACCCAATTGACAACGTCCTCGTCGAGACCCGGCCACCACACGTAGCTGCGTGCTAATGCCTTCATTCTCACGATGCCAGGATGTCCTTCGTGCAATGCCTCCAGAACTCGGGTACGCAGTGAGGTCGGGATGACCACTCGAGTGCCCCATAGTAGACAGCCCTGCAAACTGGACAACTCCTGCATGCGAGTCTTGAAAGGTGTGAATTTGTTTTCAACATTGCCACCCGGCCACCCCCTCCTCACCCAGTCGAGCACCTGGGCAAGCGTTTGGTCTGCCTTGGTTTTAGCAGCGATGTCAAGGGCAGTGATGGGTAGGTCCAACTGGGTGATCTCGAAAATAGCATGGACAGGAGCAGGGTCTTCAGCCGGAGCCGGCAAGGGGCAGCGACTGAGAGCGTCAGCGTGGGACAGCGTTTTACCCGGGCGGTGTATAAGTCTGTAGGAGTAGGCTGCTAGGAAGAGGGTCCACCTTGTCATCCTAGGGGAAAGGACTTGAGGGGTCTGTTTGTCCCCGGCTAGTAGGCCCAGGAGGGGCTTGTGGTCCGTGACCAGCTCGAAAAAATGGCCAAAGAGAAATTCGTGAAATTTTTTCACGGCTGCAACAGCTGCTAGGGCTTCCTTATCGATCTGGCTGTAATTGCGCTCCGTTGCAGAGAGCGTCCTTGAGAAAAAGGCGATGGGAGCCTCGGCGCCATTGGGAAGCCTGTGACTTAATACCGCCCCAATTCCAAAAGGGGATGCGTCTGCTGCCAGCACTAAAGGAAGGTTGGGGTCGAATTGAATAAGTACCGCCTCTGACGTGAGTAGTGATTTGACGGCGTGAAAAGCATGGTCTTCTTTGTGCCCCCAGTGCCAAGGTGACTTTTTATCCAGTAATCTGTGTAGGGGTTCAGCTACTGATGCTTTATGGGGCAAGAAGGATGCGTAAAAGTTCAATAGCCCCAAGAAAGCCTGTAGTTCAGTTTTGGAGGTTGGAGTGGGTGCCTCGTGGATTGCCTTAACCTTGGACTCCAGGGGGTGAATGCCAGAGGCGTCAATTTTATAACCTAGAAAGTCCACCTGTCTAGTGGCAATGGCACATTTTTCTTTTTTCAACTTGAGGCCATGCTGTCTGAACCTCTCTAACACTGCTCGAACTCTCTGGAAGAGTTGGGGTCTGTCCCTGGCCGAGACTAAGATGTCGTCGAAGTAGGGTACTACACCAGGGAGGCCCTGCAAAATCCGCTCCATGAGGGATTGAAAAATACCTGGGGCAACACTTACGCCAAATTGGAGACGCTTGCACCGGAAAGCACCCCTGTGGGTGACAATGGTCTGGAGTTCCGCTGTTTGGTTGTCAACAGGGAACTGTTGATACGCTTGAGACATGTCCAATTTGGCAAAAATGCTGCCAGGTTCAAAAGTGTGTAATAAATGCTGAATGACGGGCACAGGATAAGCGCTAACTTGTAAAAACTTATTGATTGTCGTCTTGTAGTCCGAGCAAATTCTCAGGCTACCGTCTTTTTTGAGGGGTGTGACAATGGGCGTCTCCCACTTGGCGAAATCTGTTGGCTCAATGACCCCTTGTTTTAACAGTTTATCCAATTCCGCGGTTTGGCCGAATAGCGAATGGGACCCTACGCGGTTTTAGCCTGATTGGGACTGCCTGGGGGTCAACTGAGAATGAGATGGGGGTACCGGTATAACACCCCAGCTCCTCGCTGAATACATCTGAGTAATCAGCGAATAAGGAGTCAGTGTCTGAGGTTGAGACAGCATGGACTCCTGTTAGCCCTAGGCCGAGATGGGGAAACCAATCGAGCCCCAATAAGGTAGGGAGATTGCCGTTAACTACCACTAGAGGTAGGTGACCTTTAAAAGCTCTAAAACTGACAAGGAACTTGCCTCTGCCGATTACAGGAATGGTCTTCCCCTGGTAGTCCTTCAGGCTAAACTGGCATCTCTGGAGCCGGCTAGTGGATAGGCTTGGTTGGAGCCTCTTGAGGGTGTTCCACGAGATAATTGAGAGCGCTGACCCTGTGTCAACCTCCATGTGGCACGGTTTACCTTCTAAGGAAACGGAGAGAGAAATTTTACTAACAGTGTGGCAAGTGTGGTTGGCATGGTGGTGCGTGCGACAGTTCAATACTTGCCTCTGTGGTCCCGAGTGCGAGGGGGGGTGCCTTTGTGCTGAGCTTTGAGGGGCTTGGCAGACTCTCGCGATGTGTCCCCTTTTATGGCAGTTATTGCAGGTGGCTCCTTTAAACTTGCAGGTGGCCCTCTGATGAGATCCCCCACAGGCTAGGCACAGGGTGATGTGCTTGGGTGGACCGATGTTTTCTTGTTTGGCTCCTACCTGCGGCCGTCTGTCGTTGGAGAGGCGGTGGACGTCGTTTTCATCACTGATGGTTTCCTCTGCTACCACCTCCTCGGAGTGGACTGGAAGTGATGTCAGCTTGGCACTTGGGCCATGGATTTCGGTGGCTGAGTGCGCTGCCAGCTCAGCTGCCAAGGCCTCCTCAACTGCTTGTGCGAGGTTGAGGTCTTTTTTTGCGAGAAGGCGCCTTTGCAGGTGGAGGTCCTTGACCCCGCAGACTAATTGATTGAGGAGCATGTCCTCCAGGTAGGTTCCAAACCCACAATGCAGTGCTGCTGTTCTGAGAGCGGCCATATACTGATTGATGGTCTCCTTGTCCGATTGCTTCCTCATACGGAAGGTGAATCTCCTGGCAATCTGTGAGGGCCTGGGAGAATAGTGGTTAGTGAGGATTTCAAGTAACTCAGACCACGGAACGTTTTTCAACTCACGTGGAGCCACGAGGGCCGTGGCAGTATCGAAGACGGTGGCTCCACAGTAGATCAGGAAATACGATTTTTTCCGATGCTCTCCAGCATCCGCCAGGCCAATTGCATCGATATAATGATTAAAGCGGTTCTTATATGATCCCCACTTCTCCTCATCTGGTTTGAACGCTGGGAAGGCTGGATTGGAATTCATGGTGCTGGGACCGGTAGAACAACCTGTGGAAAAAAATCTCTCTGGGGCAGCAGACAACGTTTTAGTGCCTGTGGCAGGCAAGTGATTTCAGCTCAGGAGAGGCTTTTCGCAATCCTCTCTTTCTCTCTGGGTTAACCACGTTTGGCTGTTAGCCGTTGGCGGCGTTTGAATTTGCGCCTGTGTGGGCGTCAGTGACTTGACTACAGCGCTGTGCTGTACCTTTTAGGTTTGAAATTCAAATGACAGCCGTTTGAATTTCGCGCCTAATGCTGAGCGGCTGCGGCTCGCAGCGCTTCACTTTCCCTGTAGCTGGGCTAACAAGCGGCTACAGACACTTCTAACTTTCGATTCTGACCGCTCTCTCTGGCTGCGGATCAGCATTCGCTTCTTATCGCTTGCTGTCCGCTTTCTCTGTCAGCGGATCAGCGTTTGCTCTTTTTGTTTGCTCTTTTTGTTTGCTGACCGCTCTCTCTGGCTGCGGATCAGCATTGCTCTTATCGCCGGCCGATCGCTCTCTCTGGCTGCGGATCGGCGGCTAGTGACTCAGCGGTTGCATGGTGCTTCTGGTAGCCATCCCATCCTCGTCGCCAGTGTTAAGTTTGAGAAAAGAGAGGCTGAACCAGAGCATGAGTGCAACAAATACTTTATTATAACAATAAAGGGCTGACCGTGCTTGCCACGCCTGGAAACTGGCTCGCAGCAATCAGCAACTGGTTGGACCCCGCAGCCTGCTTTTATAGCTGGCTGCTGGGGAGAACCAACCAATGAGTGAAGGGAAGAACGCCCACGCAAAGTGAATGGACCTGAGTGAGAACTCCTAGAGTTCTCAGGACATAACAGATACAGTTCTTTTCCTATAACTGGAACTTGCAGGCTTGGTGCCCCCAACCTAGAGATAACGTTGCTTTACAAAGGACAATAGAGCCTGTCAGGTAAAATGGTTGAGAGGTTGCATCAGAACTAGAAAGGGCCATCTTTTTTTTATATTCTCACCAAAAAAAAAAAAGTGTATAAACATGGGTAAAAAACATAATATAAATTGGGATGAATGATAATGGGAGCCTGCCCCTTTCCTCAAGTTCATTTACATATAAGTTGGAAACATTCCTATTCACTGTGGCAGAACATTAATTTTTGCAAGGGGTTGTGGGTGATGTAGCCCCATCAAAGCCACAAAGTAATGTGCTCACTAATACTGTAAGCATTGAAAAACGTTTTAGATTTCTCAGGTGGAAAGTGATGTACTTCTGACAAAGCACTTCTATACTTTGAAATTTGAACCAATTGCTGAAAATTAAGGCAGATACACAAGGATGTCCGCAGATGGGAGTCAGCAGTATCAAAATGGAGGGATGCGATTGAAGTCCTCTTTTAATGTGCACATTTTGCAGGTATCAAAAAGAGCAGCAGCTTCAATTTCTCAATCATATCTACCTTTTTGATGCTGCTCTCCTTCACACACCTGAAGACTGGCTTTTGGGGTCCTGGACAGGAACAAACATTACAACCATCCTATATAGGCCGAAATCTCTCTGACCCTCCAAACTCTTCTGAGATTTCACAGCCATCTAGAAACATGGTTACTGATAGGCGGAGATGCTTCATAATAAGGGCCTTGGGAGCTGCGTCCAAAGCCAGATGAAACCATAGAATGACTTTTTGGCTGGGTATACATATAGAGCCATCACTTTTGAAGGAAGAACTGAAAGCATGAATGACTTTGCCTTAAAAGTATTTATAGCCAAGCCAGCAAGTGCGGAAAACCAACCCCTCTCCAGCAGCTTCTTTTTTCAAAGCAAGAGAACACACACACACACCCCAAAGAAGGCAAATTGGGGGGGGGGCATTTCTGCCCAGCCCCTGCACTTCTTTTCTGCCTGAGCTCAGGAGCAAAGGCCTGAAGGGGGTCTGGGCATCTGGTTCCCAACCCCAGACAGTTCTTGCAGCCACATTGCCAGCACGTGACAGGAAACCCAGCAGCTTTTGATCTCTTCCCAGCTGCTGCAGTTGCATCCCAGGCTGAGATGGCTGTAGTACCAACCCACTCCTGCTCTGGGCTCCCTGGACTCTGCTTCTCCCGTGTCCTCCTTGCCTTCTGGTGCAGTAAGTGCCCAGAAAGGGACCTGTACTTCTTTCCTTCATCAAAATCCCATTTTCCTCCAGATTTCACTGTCCTCCCTTGACCCAATTCCTCCATAATTTCCTGATTTTGCCTTTTTCTTTCTCCTTCTTCAGCCTTTGTGGGCAGCGGCTCTGCTTTGACGGTGACCCAGACTCCAAGCTTTGTCAGTGACTCGACAGGGCAAAATATTTCCTTCGAGTGCTCAGTTGATAACAAAGACTATCATTTCTATTGGTATCGACAACTGCCTGGGAAGACACAGCTTGAAGTCCTTGGATCGCTCTTTACTTATAGTGCAGAACTTGAAGATATTCCATCTGAACTGAAGGCTCGGCTGAAAGGAAAGGGTTCCAAGTCTGACAACTCGCGGAAAATGAGTTTGGATTTGTTTAAACTTCAGGCGAATGACACAGGCTTGTATCTGTGTGCTGCGGTGTACACAGTGAAAGAGAAAGGAACCGTGGCAGGTGCAAAACTGAGCATCAGGAACAAATCTGCCCTCTACTCTTTTCTACTCATATCCATCTTTTACTGACATCCATGGGTAACCCTGTTCTACATCCTAGGGGGGTCTCATATTTCAAACAGCCTTTGGCCAATTTATGCCTTTTAGATACCCAGAAGTACCCATTTATATATGGTCTGTGGGGTGAGACTTTGGATCTCATAAATTGCAGGACCACAAGGGCAGCCCCACATGATAAGGGCCAGGCTGTGGTAGGCCAGCATCTCGCATCTCACAGTGGCCAGCCAGATCTCTCCAGGCTGCTGTCAAAGAGAAGATGGATACAGTTCTTTTCCTATAACTGGAACTTGCAGGCTTGGTGCCCCCAACCTAGAGATAACGTTGCTTTACAAAGGACAATAGAGCCTGTCAGGTAAAATGGTTGAGAGGTTGAATCAGAACCAGAAAGGGCCATCTTTGTTTTATATTCTCACCAAAAAAAGTGTATAAACATGGGTAAAAAACATAATATAAATTGGGATGAATGATAATGGGAGCCTGCCCCTTTCCTCAAGTTCATTTACATATAAGTTGGAAACATTCCTATTCACTGTGGCAGAACATTAATTTTTGCAAGGGGTTGTGGGTGATGTAGCCCCATCAAAGCCACAAAGTAATGTGCTCACTAATACTGTAAGCATTGAAAAACGTTTTAGATTTCTCAGGTGGAAAGTGATGTACTTCTGACAAAGCACTTCTATACTTTGAAATTTGAACCAATTGCTGAAAATTAAGGCAGATACACAAGGATGTCCGCAGATGGGAGTCAGCAGTATCAAAACGGAGGATGCGATTGAAGTCCCGTTTTAATGTGCACATTTTGCAGGTATCAAAAAGAGCAGCAGCTTCAATCTCTCAATTATATTTACCTTTTTGATGCTACTCCCCTTCACACACCTGAAGACTGGCTTTTGGGGTCCTGGACAGGAACAAACATTACAACCATCCTATATAGGCCGAAATCTCTCTGACCCTCCAAACTCTTCTGAGATTTCACTAACATCGCTAGTACGTCTCTAACCTTATTTTTGCCACCTTAAGGTCTAGAAACATAGTTAGTGGCAATGGTATAAAAGAGAAAATGCTCGAAATAAGGGCCTTGGGAGCTGCACTGAAAGCCAAATAAAGTTGTTCACCGGCTTTTGGCTGGGTCTATAGGGTCATCCCTTTTGAAGGAACAACTGAAAGCATGAATGAGTTTGCCCTTAAAGGTACAGTATTTATAGCCAAGCCAGCAGGTGTAGCAAACCAGCCCTTCTCCAGCAGCTGCTTTTTCTAAGCAGCAGAACACCCCCACCCCACCCCCCAGGCACAAGAAGGCAAAGTGGGGCCCCCATTTCTGCCCAGCCTTCCTCCCTGAGCTCAGGAGCAAGAGGCCTGGGGAGGGAGGATCTGGGCATCCAGTTCCCCCAGGCCAGGCAGTTCTTGCAACCACATTGCCATCACGTGACAGGAAACCCAGCAACTTATCCTCTCTTCCCAGCTGCTGCAGTAGCAGCCCCTTCAGGCTGAGAAGGCCGAGATGCCTCTTCACTCCTGCTCTGGGCTCCTTGGACTCCGCTTCTCCCATGCCCTCCTTGCCTTCTGGTGCAGTAAGTGCTCTGAAAGGGGCCTGGACCTCTTTCCCTCATCAGAGACCCATTTTCCTCCAGATTTCACCGTCCTCCCTTGACCCAATTCCTCCATCATTTCCCGATTTTGCCTTTTTCTTTCTCCTTCTTCAGCCTTTGTGGGCAGCAGCTCTGCTGTGACAGTGACCCAGACTCCAAGCTTTGTCAGTGGCTCGACCGAGGAAAGTACCCATATTTCCTTTGAATGCTCTGTTGAAAAAGGCTATAATTTGTTTTGGTATCGCCAACTGCCTGGGAAGACAGAATTGGAAGTCCTTGGGCTTGTCTACAGTTACGCTAAAAAGCTTGAAGAGATTGGAAATGATTTTAAGGGTCGGCTGAATGGAAGTATCACAGACAGTTCAGCTAAGCGGCATATGCGTTTGAATTTGTTTAAACTTCAGGCGAATGACACAGGCTTCTATCTGTGTGCTGCGGTGTACACAGTGAAAGAGAAAGGAACAATGGCAGGTGCAAAACTGAGTATCAGGAACAAATCTGCCCTCTACTCTTTTCTACTCATATCCATCTTTTACTGACATCCATGGGTAACCCTGTTCTACATCCTAGGGGGGTCTCATATTTCAAACAGCCCTTGGCCAATTTATGCATTTCGAATGCCCAGAGCTGCCATTTTTGCACTGGCTGTGGGGTGGGACTTTGGATCTAATAAACTGTAAGAACACATGAACAGCCCTGCACAATGAGGGCAAGGATATTGTCCATGAGAGTACATAAGGTATGCATGTAGGCAGGAAACTGATGCACTAGGACAGGGGTCCCGAAACTTGGCAACTTTAAGACTTGTGGCAACTTTAAGACTATGTTATGCTGGCTGGAGAATCCTGGGAGTTGAAGTCCACAAGTCTTAAAATGGGCAAGTTTGGAGACCTCTGCACTAGGATAAGGAACATCAAAATCAAACCTGGAAAAGGCAGCAACAAACCTTTTTTATGGTGTCACCAAGTGGGTCAAGTAGTCCTTGACCTATGACTTAGCAACTCTTCAAACTTACTACCAACTCGAAAAAGGGGACTTTTGATTGGGATCCAAACTTCTGACAGTTGTCCTCTACCTGCCTTCTGGCACTCAGCAACATGGACACATTTATGGTACTTTTGCCAAGAACTAGTTTTTGGCAAAACTGCATGCCATAGCAACCCATGGATTCACTTAAAAGCCACCACATTTGCTTCATGTCCATCTCATTTGTTGAACGATGTGAGCAAAGATAATGTGAAGTCAGTCATGTGACCGACCAATTTACAAGCATTAAGACTTCTGACTGTGATGAGCAGGCTCCATTATGGTTGTAACCTGTCAGCATGGCTAAAAAAACAAGATAAAGTTGGATGCCAGATGATGGGCCACCCTGTTTCCCAAATCCATTTTAGGAAATATAAATTATTTTTGCCATATACATTGATTTATATTTAAGTTAGAAGCATTCCCGTTTCCTGGGGCAGAACATTAACTTTCACATGGGGTTTCTGGGTGATGTAACCAGTTCAAAGCCACAAGGAAATCTGCTCACTAATAGTGCAGGCAGTGAAAGAGGGGTTTCTCTATTTTGTATAAATATATTTATCTAGGATGCAGAGTGTGAGAAACATGATCCAAGAAAAACTAGAAATTTTTGAAGAGGAAATGAAGCATATTACAGTGAGTGCTTTAGAAATAAATCAATTTAATTGAACTGGCATAGCCAACTTAAATCAGATGATCACAATTACATGATGTATTATTCAGGTAATGAAAACATGCAAGGAAATGGCATGTGAATGATATTCAAAAATCTAATAAGTATGTGCTTAGTTATAGCCCCGGAAACAATGCCATAATATCTATTATTATTAATGGGTGATATATCTATTCAACATCTGTATTACGCAAGTATAGGCATCTGTTACAAATGCAGTGGAAAAAGGACACTGAGGAAAACGACAAGAGTTGCAATATGAAGAAAGTATTTGAAACATTTTCATGGAGTATTTGGGGAATATAAATTATTTGTGAAGGTTGTTTAATGAGGAAGTATATCCTGGTGGTGATTTATGGTGATTATTTTGTGTGGTGATGTCATCAGACCCTCACAACCTCCAGACACTCATTGACAAAGAACCTTGTTGATATCAGCTGGTCAGCCCAGAGTGGAAATGTACTTCTCATAAGCATACTGATGATATCCAGTCCTGTACTAACAATTTCCCTCTGTAGTATCATAAAGATGCTGGATAGGACTGTGGAGCTGTGAGGAATTCCACAAAACGTGGTTCTCCTCCTTTACCAACACTGGCTTGAACCACCCATGAAGGAAGGAGGTGAATCACTATAACACAAACCCCCAATTCTCCACTCCCAAAACAACTCTGGAAGAATACCATGATCAACAGTATTAACAGCTGATAAGAAATCAAGAAGGGACAGGATAAATGCACCACTCCAGCTTGGTCCCACCAAACATAACATACAAGTCTAATTAATGCCACTTTGATATTGTATCCCAGTCTGAAACCTTACTGAAAAGAATTCAGATAATTCATTTCCTTTGGAGGAATTCATTTCCTCTGGAGTACAATTATTCAGTACCATTGAATCCAAGAATAGCTTATTGAGGAAGAGATGGATCATTGCCTTTTAAATACAGCAGAATCCCCTCACCCCACTCTCACAGAAGCATTTACCACTCTTTATCCTCCCACATGCCTTCTCCTGGGAGGCCTTACCCAACCAGAAACATGGATCCAATATGCAGGTGGCCATGCTCACAGACTCAAGGACCCTATCCACTGCCTCAGGACCAACAGGCTTGAACTCATTCCAGATAGCTATGCTAGAGCATGCCTCACTCAACTCTCTGGGATCTGTACATCCAGAATCTAGCTCAGAGAAGATCTGTGACTTTATCTGATTGATGCCTAGAAAAAGTCTTCACAGCAGTAATATAGATGTTCCTCCAGCCCATTCTTTCTGAGGAGTTACCAAGTCATCTTAAACAGGGCCACCAGATAATACATATACAATAAGAACAGAAGTCTCACTATGATTTGCCACTCTATCTTTACAAGGTAACTCTTAAGAAAGGCTCTTACCCATGGTCAATCAGATTTGCCTTCCAGCACTCTAGGCATTTTTTCATCTCTCAGAGTTATTCTAAAAACCAAGGATAGAAAGAGTCTACCTAGGGACAATTCAATTCAGGGTCATCACCATTCCCTCATTCCAACTGTGGCCAAGACTTTGATCAAACTATGCATCATAGCCATTAGGCAACTAGGCAAACCAATCAAATAAAGACACTGTGGGTGAAACAGATAAAATAAAACAGAAAACTAAGTAAACCCATCAAGGGCAAAAAGGTTTAAGACTGCATAAAATTACTGGGTGAAGAGGGAAAGAAGAGAAGCAAAATTTTAATTCAGCTGACAAGCTCAAGTTATGGTTCCTCTTCTCGCTGTAGCAGAATTATCTAAAAATACTAAGCATACATTTCTACACTTGTAAGTCCTACTTAATGCAATGAAAATTTCTCAACAGAAGTGTACAACATCATTAGGCAACAATGATCTGGAGAATAAGGAAACTTTCACAAAGATAAGCAAGCAGCCCTGTAATTCAAGCTCTCTTTATAATAGGTTTACCTAAGTACAGCAGTAGGCAAGTTTGTGGTGAAGGTTCAGAAATAAATTGGAGCCCCCAAAAAGGAGTTGCAACTGCATCCTTTACTAGCATGTATAGTGTGCCTCTGGGAATGATCAAAATCTTCATTTTCATTTTCCTCATAAGGGGAGAGTAACAGATTCATAGAATCAAAAGGAATAGCAATAGCAACAGCACTTAGATCTGTATACCACTACACAGTGCTTTACAGCCCTGTCTAAGCTGTTCACGAAATCAGCATATTGCCCCCAATAATTTGGATCCTAATTTTACCCACCTCAGAAGTGTGGAATGCTGAGTCAACCTTGAGCCTGGTGAGATTCGAACTGCCAAATTTGCAGGCAGCCGGCAGTCAGCAGAAGTAGCCTGCAGTACTGCACTCTAACCACTGTGCCACTATGACTCATAGGAGGTCATCAACTCCAACCTCTTGCTCAGCATAGATCTAACAGCATCTCTGAAAGATGACTACCCAATCCCTACTTGAAGACCTCCAGCAAAACAGAATTCACTACTATGTTTGGCAGCCTGTTCCACTGGCAGACAACTCGTATAATCAGGAAATTCCTTCTGATGTCTAGCTTGAACCTTCTTCCTAGTAATTTTAATTTATTGCTTCTCATTTTACTGTCTGAGGTTCTATTTGACTCTTTTTCAGATTCTGAAGAGTGCCATCATCTCTCACTTCAGTTGTCTGTAGGTTTAAAAAACTCTCCTTAACAATGAAGATACTGAAGTCACAGATTGCTTCTGCCCTTTAGGATCAACCATCAACAGTAAAGAAACCAGCAGTCAAGAAATACACCACAGAGTAAAAACTATAAAGGTCTTGGAAAAAATATTCACATGCTGTGAGGTAGCTACATCTATAACAATCAAAATCATGCAAGCTGTGGTATTCCATGTTGTAGTATACTTGTTTTGCATACTCGTAACACTGCATTCCTATTGGACAGATACCACCGCCTAGCGATTGGTAGATAACAACAGTTCTGATTGGCTGCCTAAGCGGTGGGAGTTTTAAATAAATGCCATTGGTTGCAAGCCATGAGCAGCCTCTATAAAAGGGGCTGCCACGGCTCGACTTTAGTTGAAGTTACTAACAGTTAAATAAAGAGCTGAACTCAACTCTGGTCTCGAGTCTACTTTGTTCCAGCAGTAGAACACATGTGACAGTTTATGTAATCAAATGTTGGATTTTGAAGAAGCACGGTAGGAAGAGCATTGACACTTTTGAACTTTAGTGTTGGAAAAGATTTGTCATAAAACAAATAAACTTAGAGTTCGCACTCAAGGCACAAATGAACAGATTCAGATTACAGTATTTTAGACATATATGAAGACTTACCTCTCAAGTTTATCATGCAGGGAAGGTGGAAGAAAAGAGAAGAGGATGACTTTAGGAGCAAGGCAGAAGGATTCAGCACTGATAGGCGCACCCCTAGAAGACCAGATGGCCCATATTGGGGACAGATTATCCTGGAGAGGATCTACCTACACGGTCACTAAGAATCAACATTGTCTTAATGACTCATTAATCAATCAAAACAAATCCCAGATCTCTTAATTGTTCTTCATAAGGCTTGATTTCTAGATCTTTTCAGGCTTGGTAGCCTTCTTCTGAATTCACCATATCTGTCACTGGTGAAACATTGTAGCCAACAGCCTAACTGCCCACCAATCCCACAAAAGTTGCTCTATGCGCAGCCTTTCCCTGCTTGCACCTAACTATGGCACTAATATGTTCCAGAAACCTCTTTTTTCTGCCATGTCCTCGTGTTCATCTAATCTGCTGCACATGCCTAAAGTATTCCTTAATTGATCTGATTTAACAGTAGTGCCTTCCAGTTTCAACATCCAACAAGGTTCAGTAATTTTCCTGGTGGGCATTCTGATACATTTCACTGGCCAATTGGTGCTAAAGTCAGTTGACCCCCACTGGGTGACATCAACCCATCATCCTATTGGCTACTTTAGGCTGGTTTGGGCACACTCTTTCCTACCACTCCCTGGACACTGTTTTTGAGGGGCATTCAGCAGCTGATCAGCAGTGGCAATGGGGGACTGTAGAGACACATAGGGAGGGTGTTTTCCCTTTGTCACCCTTTGACCTCTTGAACTGCTTTGGAAAATGGGTTTAGCACTTTACCAGTCAAATGCCTCTTCTTCTCAAAACTTAGATTCCTCTCTATTAACGTAGAGTACAGAAACCTCCAGTGAGAAGCAATGCAATTCATACAAAATGTTATAAATGCTGGTGCCAAGAAGTTCAATACTTTGAAACCTGAACCAATTGCTGAAAATAAGCACAGCTACGCAAGGGTCTCTGCAGATGGGAGTCAGCAGTGTCAAAGCAATCAAAGTGCTGCCCCCTTTGGATGGGCACTGCACACTTTGCAGACATGAAAAAGAGATTCAGCTGCAACCACTCAATCTTATGCACCGTTTTGATGCTGTTCCCCTCCTCCCTGCTGCAGACATTCATTAGCTTTTTTTTGGGGGGGGGGTCCTGGAGAGAAACAAATATTAGGACTTATCCTATATGCACTGAAATCTCTCTGACACTCCAAATTCTTCTGAGAACTCAACGCCATCGCTTGTACATCTTCAACCTTCTTTTTGCAGTCTTAAAAACTAAGAAACACAGTTACTGACAATGGCAGAACAGAGACAATGCTCAAACTAAAGGCCTTGGGAGCTGCAGTCAAAGCCAAATGAAATCATTCAGTGGCTTTTGGCTGGGTACATAGAACCATCGCTTTTGAAGGAATAACTGAAAGCATGAATGACTTTGCCCTTAAAACTATTTATAGCCAAGCCAACAGGAACAGCAAACCACGCCCTCTCCAGCAGCTTCTTTTTATAAGCAACAGAACCCCCTCCTCAAAGAAGGCAAATGGGGAGGGGGCACTTCTTTTCTGCCTGAACTCAGGAGCAAAGGCCTGAAGGGGGTCTGGGCATCCGGTTCCCACCCCCAGACAGTTCTTGCAGCCACATTGCCAGCATGTGACAGGAAACCCAGCAGCTTATCCTCTCTTCCCAGCTGCTGCAGTAGCAGCCCCTTCAGGCTGAGATGGCCGAGATGCCTCTTCACTCCTGCTCTGGGCTCCTTGGACTCCGCTTCTCCCATGCCCTCCTTGCCTTCTGGTGCAGTAAGTGCTCTGAAAGGGGCCTGGACCTCTTTCCTTCATCAGAGCCCCATTTTCCTCCAGATTTCACTGTCCTCCCTTGACCTAATTCCTCCATCATTTCCTGATTTTGCCTTTTTCTTTCTCCTTCTTCAGCCTTTGTGGGCAGCGGCTCTGCCGTGACAGTGACCCAGACTCCAAGCTTTGTCAGTGGCTCGACAGGGAAAAATATTTCCTTCAGGTGCTCTGTGGATGAAGCAGGCTACAGATTGTATTGGTATCAACAATTGCCTGGGGAGACAGAACTGAAAGTCCTTGGGTACCTCTCCAGTTTCGACCGTGACCTTCAAGAAAAAGATAAGGATTTGCAGAATCGGCTGAAAGCAAAGTGGGAAGACCCAAATAGCAGGAAGATGCATTTGGATTTGTTAGGTCTTCAGGCGAGTGATACAGGCTTCTATCTCTGTGCTGCTATGTCCACGTTGAATGAGGTAGGAATTGAGGCTGGTACAAAACTGAGTATCAGAATAAGCTTTCCCACCTTTTCTTAACTTCTTCTGATGTCATCTCCATGAAGCTATCTGATTCAGACTTCTGAGGCCACTCTGGAAACCTCACCTCTACCCATCGTCTCCAATCATAGTCTCTCTGGATGAACAAGATTATAACTTCCAAGCTGGTTAGGGATAATGGTAGTTCTGCTCTAAAGCATCCAGTAGGCATCTGGTTGGGAAGGATTCAAATACTGAGGACACCCAGATAGCCTAACACAAATTCATTTGCATTGTGCTAGAATTAGCCCAAAACCATTCTATAAAAATTCCATGGTATGAAATAATATAACCTCAGTTCCCACATTATTCCAAGCAATAATGTATAGTCGGTGGTTGTTGTTTTTACTTAATGTATGGTGAATTCAGTCCCTATGGTTCTTATAAGTTAGCATATTAATGGTGGTTTTTCAATATATCATGATTAAATACACAAGACCTATGTTATATGTAAAACTGGTCACCAAATGCCTATTTTGTTCTTGAATATGATCGTGGGCAAAGACATTATATCTTCCACTAAAGAATCAGCCTTCATATGTCTGATATTTGAGGTAAGGAAGGTTTATATAAGCATGAATGAAGAAGAACAATGTTTGTATTCTTGCATAATAGCTTGCATTTTCTGCGGAAACATAAAGTATTGGACTCAGCATCTCTTTCTCCCAGCTGCTTCCATGTAAGGCTTATTGTACTCCATCTACCAGTGAATAAGTCTGAAAGAGAGATTCAGCCATCCAGAAGAACTTTGTGACTGAGAATCTTCACATTATCAGGTTGGACCTGGGAAAGTTGGTACCAAATTTAAGTAACTGGATGAAAAGAATATGCTGCTCCAAACTGGAGGGAAAATGGTACTATTGGAACCCAGTGAGCCTCTTTACGAAAGGAATTGAATAGCCAAGCTCCCACTGCTGAGAAAATTTGGTCATCCTTTGGCTTTCTGTTTGTCTCCAGGAAAGAAAATACTGAAGCAGGATAAATTAACATATTCAGAGGCATTCTTCAAAAATTTGGGTTTAAGGACTGAGAGGATGCTAAGAAAAATAACCTGCAGCTCAACTTCAACTTCTTCTTTGGATTAAGCCAATTATTTAAAGTACTGGAATTCAAATTACTCTTTGGAGGGATGGCTTCTCTTTTTTGAAATATATAAGTAGTCCTTGACTTACAATCGTTTGTTTAATGACCATTCAGCCTTACAATGGCACTGCAAAATGTGACTTATGACCATTTTTCGCAGTTATGACCTTTGCAGCATTCTATGATCCTGTGATCAAAATTCAGATCTTAGCAACTGGTTCATATTTATAACCATTGCTGTGGTTATAAATATGATGATGATCCAAGTGATCATCTTTTGCGACCTTCTGACAAGCAAAGTGAATGGGGAAGCCAAATTCACTTAACAAACAGGTTACTGTGATGATCCAGGGGGTGGCACAAAGGCAACATAATCAGATAATCAGTAGGAGTCCCTTTATTAGCTCCAACTTTGCCCCCAATGTCCTGATTACCTTCTGGCTGGAGGAAAACTCTCCCAGGAACAGCCTTCGGCTGTAGAGAATCAAGTCCAAAACATGGTCAACAAAAACTGTAACTGTAAGTCCAATCAAGGCAAGATATGGTAACTAGTCCAGCAGGGCAGGAGAAGGAATTCCAGATGTGAAGGAATGGCAGTAATTCAACACAGTTGGGAGGATGCCAGGAATACAGATAACCAAAGTCAATACAAGATAAATTCATGTTTGTTCCCAACAGATGCCACACTCAGCATGCATCTCTTATAAAATCTCTTCCCAGGTGTGGCTAATGAAGAGAATCAGGGCCCTTTCCTCCCCCGTAAGCCGTGCAACCCACATTGCTCTCTTCTCTGTTCCTCCCTACATGCCCTAGGATGAAGAGCGGGTGGGCCTGGGTCTTCCTCTGAACTCCCTCTCCCTTGTTCTACCTCTTCCCTGCTCTGCCCAGCCGGACTTTGCCCTTCCCCAGTTTCCTCCACAACCAACCGAGCCACTCCCTGTTAGCTGTTCATCTTCCTCCTCAGATTCAGACTCCAACAGGGGCATGGCCAGCTTAATGTCACTTGTGTTGGGAGTGCCTGTGGTGGCTCGAGCACTCTGCCAGTGAAAATGGACTCCCGAACTCCGTTTTTGGCTGCGATGGCCTGCAACCCTCTGCCAGAAAAAAACAGCTCCAAAGGGCTACCTGCGGGTCTCCTGAGCTCTATTTTCTCTGGCAGAGGCACTGCCAGATGGTCCTTCACGGTTTCCAGGGCAGCCCCACGGGCCAGATCTAAGCACCCCACAGGCCAGATCTGGCCCCTGGGCCTTGAATTTGACACCCTTGCTCTACTCTATCAAATGGGCCAGATCAGAGGTATTCAAACTTGGCAACTTTAAGACTTGTGGACTCAACTCCCAGAATTCTCCAGCCAGTTTGGGGAACCCTGGGTTTGATATTCAGAGACTGTTAAAAGTTGAAATTCAGAATGGTCTATGATAATTCACTGCAGCCAACTCATAATAACCAACTTGCCACGGCTAACTCGCCACAGGACAACTCACTGTGGGACAAAAGTTACACTGATATCAAAGAAATGGTAGAATAGAATAATTAAAGAAAGGATGCAAAAGGAGGAAGAGAATGAAATGTGAATGACCAAAATTAAAATATTTTTAATTTATTTTAAATAATTAACTTGAATTGTCCCACGGTGAGTTGTTTTGCAGCAAGTTGGTCATGGTGATTGGTCATGGTGAGTTGGCCATGGTGGGTTGGCTGCGGCGAGTTGCCCCATTCCAAATTCAGCAATGTCTGCAGTCCAGAATCTGCCTATCCAAAGCTTGCATGCTTATTTACACGCATCCCTACCTAGGGGGAAGTCTCATTGTACTCACTGAAATATCTGAACAAACATGCTAAGAAAAACGAAACCTGCTCAGAATTAGTGATTTCCGTGATTGTTTTCCACACACAATGGCATCACAAACAGGACCAGGAAATCTAATCAAGGAACTACATTGGGTGGTAAAGCACATAGTGGGGTACATTGTTGCAGACAGGAAGTAGTAGTGGGCTCAGTAGACCCAAAGCTACCCCAGAGAGGGGAATAGAGCAGGGCAGTGTATCAAAGTTACTGACCCAGCCTGGGATGAGCTGCCCTCATTGGTGTGATGCCTCTAATCTCAGAGTTTTTCTAAGTGACTTTGAAGCATTCAATTAGCCGACTTTTGTGACTTTTGAATAGAACTGTTCCCATGCCAATAGAGCACTGGGAGGAAAGAGAGTTGAGAAAGAGCTGCTCTGAATGATCAGGAGTATTTGTGATGGTGGTGACAATGATGGATTATAATTGCAAGGGCCTCATGAATGATGGGAGTGCCATGAGATGAAGGCTCTTTTTCCCCCTTTGCAACTTCAATGGGGGCCTGTATGCTTTCTCATTGCCCCACCTGAATACCCACATTCCTCCCTGATCTCATGTATCTATCCTGATCTGTTTCTCAGCCCAGCACTGAACCAGCTGCAATCCTCACTTGGCATTCTGAATTAAAAGTCATTTTTTCCTGCACGGACCCTGTTACAACAGTAGTGTAACAATATTATAATCTATGTGGGAAGCAAGTAACTTAGGTGGCAGCATGCTTCTGAGTACGTGTAGTTGTAGGTGTAGTTAGGTGTAGTTATAGCCCGGTAGAGTCCCAGCCCTTCCCTCTGTTCCTTGGACAGCATCACCCCCCCATTTCCACTTCCACATAAGCAATATAGGCCCCCTCCTGTCCATTTTTAAAATCAAATTGACTCAGATGGGAAGTTTGCTTTTAATGTTATACTTTGCTTTTAAACGAATAACTCATTAAATTGGGGAAATATTTCTATATTAAAAAGATTGCAGTGATGAAGGTATATTTTCTGATACTCCATAAGGAAAAGGGATGATTTCTTAAAATGTAAGAAAATATGTTCAAATTTAATCAGCCTGCCACTCATTGCCAGAAGGAAAGGCTATTTTGAAATATTTTCTTTCTCAAGTTTAGCAAAACAGAATCATATTTCTTATTATAGCAACCTCACAAAATGACTCCAAAAATGAACATGCTCAACTTCCAGCATAGTTAGAGAAATGCATGCTTTAAAAGATGTACTGACACTTTTATTTCAGACCAGCAACCAAAATAGATGCTGAGTTTAGACATACTAAATCACACTTGGTTCAAATCATAGTTTATTCAGTAACCATAGAAACTTAATCCATACAAAACACTAAACCAGACATGGTTGGCAGGGCCAGTCTGAACAGATTGGGAACAATCGGCTCCAGGGTCACAGGCTGTCCATTCTTCTGCATTGCCATAAAAGGGGTAACCAAACATTTGGAGACCCAGTGAAGAAGTCACTTAAAGCCTAGCCAAGCCCCAGCAAATCACATCATAATTTGGCAACGATGAACCCAATCTAGCACCAATTGCTTGCATTCCTACTAAAAACATGAAGTCTCACCTGGAGATGGCAAACACCTGTTAACTTGCCAGGAAAACTCACTTTTAAGTTTCCTCTTCATCAACATGCTACGGTGAAGGCAGTAGCACATCTGCATTGCCTGTACAGCCTTGGATCTCTCAGGAAGCTTCCTGATGTAGTCGAGGATAGGTTTAATTGGCAATTAAAGCTTTGACAGATTAATCACATTAGTGCCCTGTTCCAGCGGAGGTTAGTCATAACAAACGATTTTCTTCTATTGGTTTAATGGGATGTGCAGCTGAATTTGCTCTGCTTACCTGGCAATGAATCTCACTTGTATCAGAGGGGCTCATTTTCATGGCATTCTGGAGTTCACAATCCAGCAGACGTATGGAAATTTTTGGGGTTTTTTTAAAAAATTTATTTTGCAATTTAAAAAAGCACGAGAAAAGAATAGCAGACATCCAACAATCATCTTCTCTGGGGCCACTGAGCTGGTTAACATCAAGGACATTACCTTGATTTTAGATGGCAAGAACCATTTAATAATCAAATCTGCTCTTACACCATTCAACCTTAATGGAAAGATGAAACTGTACCCGTGTTTAACTGTTGCTCCTTCAGTCGCTCTCCCCGCAAACTCATTCAGACAGTGACTCATGCCCTTCTCACCACACAATTAGACTACTGCAATAGCCTCCTTTCTGAAGCCTCCTTTCATATGAGGTAGAAATTGCTGTTGGTACAAAATGCAGCAGTTGGGTTACTTGCAGGGACAGATGGCTTAGCAGTACAACTACAATATACAGTGGCACAGTGGTTAGAGTGCAGTACTGCAGGCTGCTTCTGCTGGCTACAAGCTGCCTGAAATTTGACAGTTCGAATCCCACCAGGCTCAAGGTTGACTCAGCCTTCCATTCTTTGGAGGTGGGTAAAATGAGGACCCAGACT